CAAACAAACAAAAACCAAAATAACAAACAAACAAACAAAAAAAACCACCATGGGGGCAGTGTAACAATTGTTACAAAAATTGGGATAAAAGGGAATAAATGCATGAGCTGAGGTGCCTATGAGATGAATTTCCCTGGGAATTCCTGCTCTCAGCTCTCTGGCCCCAGGGAACCGGCGGAGAGTGGCACCACACACTGTTGGTCACAACTGCAGCATGCTGTATCAAATCACTAGGTTGAAAGACATGACTTGAATGAATGGAATTTGGAACTTAACAGCAGATATGTCTGAATCTGGGTTTTCCCCTGAAATTCAGGAAAAGCTGCAGTCATCTGGCCCTCTGTTTGAGTCACCCAAAGAAAGAGATGAGAGATCTGTGTGTAGCAGTGCTGAGCCAGACAGAGTATGCAAGGAAGGGAGAGGAGAGGGAAAGAGTGGTGAAAAACAATGAAGCAGCAGCCAGAAAAAGAGGAGAGGTGGGGAGGTTTCTTCAGAAAACAGAACCTGAAAATGTTTTAGCTTGAAATACTTTCTTGGCTACTTCTATCTGATCTTACCTCAGTTTCCTTGTAGAAAGGCTTTATAGAAAGGCAGCATCAGTAAGCGGGGAGCAGTTTGTGCTCTCAGTGCTGTACTAATTCTGAGCTCAACTCCTCTGAGGAGCTGTATCCATGACTTAAGCAGGAGCTGAGTGGGACTTTACTGCTCCCCAAGCTCAGGGAGGCATTATCCTCTTCCCAGTGCCTCTCCTTCCAGAGAGGTATGGTGACTATGGGGACTCTTGAATGGCCAGGCTCTGGTGTGCAATTTTCAGGTGCTCCTGTTATGTGTGCACTGGAAATTATGTTCCAAACTGTTTCCCAGTCAAAAGTCTAATTTTACAGAAAATAGGGTAATTTTGCAGCTCTCCAGCATAAAAAAAAAGATCTATCACTTTAATAATCCTTGGCTGTTTGTTAGGATCTCTCATCTAAAGACTTTAAAGTGCAGTTAGACCTTAATGAATCAAGATTCATGATCTCCCCAGAAGGAAGGTTTGGTGCTTGTTTCATTTTGCAGATGAGCAAACTAAGACACTAAGAGAGGAAGTGATTTTCCCTCCAAGGCCACATATGAAGGCTTAGAACAAATCCAAATTCTGATCTGGTCACCCACCACTTGATTTTTTGAAGCCATTTTTTAGGTAAATCTGTGCCATGGCATCAGTGAGGTCCTAGCAGGTTTTTTTCAGATCAAATGTAAATATTGTCTAAGCTAAGGAAATCTCTTCTAATAAGCAACAGTTCAAAGCAAGGCCTTGTATGTTAGATGATCCCTTTTTCTGCCCTGTCCTTCTGGTTCACACAATCTACAGTTCACGTCACACAGAGACTTGACTCAAATTTTATACCTTGCATACAGACTTGTCCATGTGCACCCTTGTATGCTGCTGCTGTTCTGCAGGGCCTTGCAGAACCCCCAGCTGCTGCAGTGAAGGGGAAGCGCTCTCTGAGCCCCTTGTGCTGTCAGCCAGGCTGGTGGTGTGACCGCCAGCTGCTGGGAGGCTGCTGGAATTTTGATGAGTTAATCTCATCACTTTATCACAGGGCACTTACAGAAATTACAGGGAGCTGTGAGCAGTTCACTGTGCTGGCAGCCAGCCCCAGGACCCATAAAAGAAATTGAGACACATAGAAAAAAAAAACCTCAGAGAAGTTTGTTAAAGTTTTGGAGGCGATAGTTTTTCTTGGACAAGTTCTGCTTGGGTAATGCTGATTGTGCCTTCCCTGGTGATGTCCCTGCTTCTTGCAGTAATGGCAGGTATTGCCTCCAGCTGTAGCTCTCAATCCATGCAGCACAGAGCATATTTTGGGGCCTGATATAAAACTCCATTTACTTTGGCAGCATTGTTTTGTGTGAAGAGGGTACAGTGAGCCTCTCCTCTAGCATTTGTGTCTGTAGAGAGGACTGTAAGGCACAGTTGCTGGGCCTTTCTTCCTTTAGACTGGTCATAGTGTGTGGAAGGAGCACATGAGCCTGTGTTCAATGCGAAGGCAATGAGGCATGCTGGACGGGATGTCCCACCAGCGCTGGGTGTATTTTTTCACCTGTGCTTACCAGCAAACCACATGGCTGCTGCACTACATGGTGACCACTGCTGTGCTGTCGAGGAAGCGGAACTTGCCCAGTGCCCACCCTCCTCTGGCTCTGCTTCTTTAACAGTCATGATCCCAGTAAAGAAGTGCCTTTGAGAACTGCTTATTCAAGCTGTACATACAGTGTGTATATGGTAACCAGTACTATCACATTTAGTTGCGGTGTAGGTTTTGTAGACCATTTCCAGAACTTTGCTTGTCAAGGCGTTCATGGGCTGGAGGGACGGGGAAGCTGGAGGATGTGCTTGACAGAGTGTAGAGGGACAGTCCTTTTGCTGCCAGATGAGGGCTGTCGCTGCCTCCCGCTGCTATAAGGGGTCAGTGCCCTTGGTGTAGTGTCTCTGTGTTAAAGGACAAATTTTTGGCCTTGACCACAAAATACAAAATCTTACATCTCTCCTGAACTCTGGTCCTGGCTTTGGTGAGAAAGGTGAGCACTGAAACTAAGGCAAAACCTTCCAAAGGGAAGCCCAACCATTAACCTAGCACGGCCAAGTCCAGCCACTTGAGGGAACTGGGGTTGTTTAGCCTGGAGAAAAGGAGGCTGAGGGGAGACCTTACCATTCTCTCCAACTACCTGAAAGGAGGTTGTAGCAAGGTGGGTGTTGGTCTCTTCTCCCAAGTAACAAGCGATAGAATGAGAGGAAATGGCTTCAGGTTGTGCCAGGGGAGGTTTAGATTGGATATTAGGAAAAATTTCTTCACAAAAAGGGTTGTCTATCATTGGAACAGGCTTCCCAGGGAAGTGGTTGAGTTGCCATCCCTGGAGGTATTTAAAAGACACATAGATGCGGTACTTAGGGATATGGTTTAGTGGCTGGACTTGGTAGTGTTAGGTTAACAGTTCGGCTTGATGATTTTAAACGTCTTTTCCAACCAAAACGATTCTGTGATTCTATGAAAGTGAGACTGTGTTTGAGTTTTATCCCAGGTTTGTTCCTGCTCTGTTCCTTCCTCTGTGGGGCACAGTAAGTATCTGATCATGAGGTCAGGGCCTCTGTACTCATGGGTCTATAATGTGCTGGAGCTCTGTGTCTAGAGTGGGAGTTTGTTTATTACCTTGAGATCAACCCTGAATCTCAATTTCCAGCTCTCTGAGAACCTTGATACATTGCTGGCTATTGAAATTCAGGTGCTGCGCAATGACGAAATACAGTCTGAATGGAAGCAACTTGTGCAGCACACTCTGCTCCTGCTGACAAACTGTGTTTTCAGGGAAGATGAGCAATGGTGAGGAATGGGGTGGCTGGGCTGGGGCTTAGGTGCAAGTTGCAAGTCTTGTGACAAAACAAGAGGCAAGAAGTAGAAGGTTTATAACTAGCAGGCAGATCACATTTAGGCTTTGGGGATTGGGTGCTCCAGGGGTTTCACCCAGCACGGGCCAAGCATAGTGAGATAAATCAATTTCCTTCTGTGCTCTGCCTTTCCACTCAGACTCCCAGTGGACTTTCCAACTGCTTAGTTATTCCCAAGGTCCACTCACCACCCCAAGAGATTGGTATGTATCGGATTGTTGGTCTTTATTTAGAGGAAGGAAGGGTCTTGCACAAGAATATAGAAATCCATTGCAGAAGTCTGAACAAAAATCAAGTCCTGTCCCAGTGCTACTAAGCTCTACTCTAGAGCTCTAGTAAGCTCTACTTCTAATATGGTATATGAAATCTGTTCTGTTCTCTCAGTTCTTACCTACACTCCTCCCTACAGATCTGATTGAACTCTTGAATCTCAATTTCCTGCTCTAAACCACCAAACCAACTTTTCTATTCTTCTGAACTGATTGTAGAGCTTAGAAATCCTTTTCAGAGCTGCCTGATTTACCCAGTAGCTAGACTGCCTTAAATGTATTGTCATTGTCAATGCATCACTGTCAAGGTTAGATTTCCAGTCCTGCTCCACAGCAAACATTGAATAGCCCTCTTCAGAAACATCACTTCCAAAGTGAATGGCAGGATGGAGGCAGCTGTTTTTATCTGTTGTCTTCTGGAAATGAATAATTGTTGCATTACAGTGTGATTCAGCATAATTCCACTTACATCCTCATATCAGACTCTCGCATCCATGTTTCATTACATTCTTTGCTTATGATAAAATACAATGTGACCAGAAATAAATTTGGGATGCTTCTTTCCCTGTTTTGTCTTGGAGGTGGTGTTGTGAAGTGATCATAAATGAAAGGGATCGAGGAAAGAAATACTGATGATCTGCGCAGAGTGATGAGAGGCAGGTGCACATGAACTAATAAAATAAAACTGGAAAGATTTGCATAGAGAGCCTGTGTTCGTTTTATAGGACATCTTGCCCATCTTTCTCAATCCAGACCTACTGCTTCCCTGCTACCTGTAGTAGCCAGCTGGCAGGAGGAAGCAAAGGAGGAAGTGTCATCTCTGAGCTCCCTGGTACCCCAAACAAGGGAAGACAGGACAGGTTACCTTCATTCCACAGATATGGAGCAAGACTTGGCAGCAAGGGGAATGCTGCTTATGTCTGAACTGCTCCCACTCTCAGTCCTGGACTTCAGGGAACAAGCCAGGTTATGAGGGATGCAGCACAAGGTTGATGACGTGCCTGGAGGACACATTGTGCCTGAAAGCCCAGCGTTGCAGTCGGGCCCTTGGATGGACAGGTTTCTCCCAATACTTAGAGCAGTATTGCTTTTTTCTGATGTGTTCTAGTAGGTAGTGCTGGGGTCTCTAAGAGCCATCATCAGCTGGCTGTGGTCTCAGAGTATGTGTGTGTGTAAATGAGCAAGCAAACATACAGCATATACAGACTGATGGTGATGGGAATATCTGGGCACTACAGCCTGTCCCTGGATCAGTGGGGAGAACGTGGTTCCTGGGTGACCATCTCTGTGTTTGATTGCAGGGAATATTGAATACAGCTGCCCGGCCACCAATGAATGTGAGATCACGAAACGGAGGCGCAAGTCCTGTCAGGCCTGTCGCTTCATGAAATGCCTCAAAGTGGGGATGCTAAAAGAAGGTAAGAGAGTCAGACTGAGAATTGTTTGCTGTCCCAACAGCACCTGGGACTCCAGGCCTTGCAGGGTCTCCTAGGCTAACTACACGCTTGCCCTCTCTGGCTTTCCAAGCATATCTTTTTACAGGCTTTGTAAAAGAGTCAGGATGGGCAGTGACCAAGAGGGCAGTCCAGAGAGCAGAGTGGTGCTAGTCAGCACCCTCATGTTAGAATATTACTTCTAGCACTTGCAGATTTGACAAATAACTGGAAACTGGCTGTACCAGACTGTTTCATTTCCCAAAGGAACCCCAGCCTGGAGACTGTTCCTCTTCTTCCCCCTCAGGTCATTTTGCAGGGGAGGAGAGGCTTTCGTGTGATCATGACTGGGTTGGTTGAGCTGGGTAAGGGAAGGATGGAGTTAATGCAGAGCTATGGCAGGGTGTGCAACGAAGGTCTGCCAGTATTCCCACTCAGGAGACTTTATGAAGATGGTAGGTAGCACAGGTTTGTCTGGGAGCTGTGGGTCTCCTGCCCTGCATGCTCAACCTGTGTTGTGCTCAGCCTATTGATCTGTTCCGTGCTCTTTGAGCAGTGTTCAGCTTCTCTCTTGTGCTGCTTTTCCTCCCCCTACCCCCTCCCCAATCCTTGTCCATTCAAGGTGAACCACAGGGAATTCAGTGGCAATTAAACACATTCTTACAGATTGACTTTAAAGCTTTGTTTCCCTTGGGTCCCTCTGGGAGAGGCAGTGAGGGGCGGAGGGGGGAGAGGAGGAGGGAGAAGGAAGGAGAAGGGTTGCATTGCTGTACCTGGCAGACCATGGTCCCCTCAGTTTAACCACAAGGAACAGCAGCTGGCTGTGGTCTGCACAAGTTCTGTATGCTGGAGCCAAGATGCCATACCATCATAGTAGCTGGGGATGAATTGTACAATGTCACTTGAGCGTGTATTGCTTTGCGCTAGGGCTCTCTCATTTCTTGAGAGGCAAGTTGATGGCAACCAATGTTGTTGAGAATGTAGATTAGATGTTAAACCCTGTTCTGTTCTTTGACGATGTGTAGTTTCTGTGGTTGAGTATCTTCCAGCTAGAGCACACCAAGGGAAGGAGATACAGAGTTGTGTAGTCTGGCCCTCCCTGACCTAGGTGTAGAGGTGGTAGACTTGAAGGATCTTGATCCACTGTTGGGAGGGAGGCACCTACTTTTGGAGTTAGAGAGGGACCACTAGAAACCTGCTTCTCTGCATGTGGTAGTCTGGGGAGGGGATATATCCCCTTACCCACACAACAATCCACACTAGTGACATTGGCTTTACTGGGAGCACAGATTGGTAATGCGCTCTAGCCTGCTCATATGAATGCCATAAAACAACCTTAAAAGCCTGATGTGGCTCCAGTCACTCTGCAGAGTAGCAGCATGGGTCCAGGCTTGCTGGCTGCCTGCGTCTGCTGCCCTGCATCCAAGCAGTTGAGCCTCTTGGAGCTGGCAGCTGGGGGAGCAGCGTCACAGGAGCCAGCGCTGGTGTGTCTAACTGTCTGGCCAGGGCATCCTCTACTTCTAATTCTGGGAGTGTGATGCAGTCCAGAGCAGAGTCCTGTGAAGGGTTTTGTGGCTTAGCCTCCAAATTGTGTGAAAACAGTTAACTCCTTCCAGACCAGAGGTAGGCTGGAAAGCAATGTAGGCTCACTCACAGAATGCCGTGCCTGAACTCCTGAACCCCGTGGGATACTACTCATGGCAAACTGAAATTTGACACTAAGGCTGCTTTTGTGCTGAAGTGTATTTAGTTATTCATATAGGGATTGATTTGGTATCATTAAAGCCACTGGGGAAGGGTGGTTTGCTATTGATGTTAGTGTATCTGTGATCTTGCCCATAATATTTAGAGCTGTGGAATATACAGTATAAAGATTTATTGATAGTAATGGGATGCAAGAACACATCACATTATCAAGAGGAGCCGAGGAGACTACATTAGCAATCTGCAAGTAGGACTCCTGTGTCCTAACACAGAGTGGTCAAGTGATGTTGGGCAGGCATCTTTTTTTTCCTCTTTCTTTTGCTCAGTTTCCCAAGCTGAGAAATAAGGGTCATACTGCTTTGCTTTGCAAAAGGGTTGTGAGGACTGATTAGTTAACTTTATGTGAAGCCTGGTGGAAGCACAAAGTATTAGTATACAGAATTCAATCAATACACATCTTTAAAAGCAAAATCCAAAAAGGGAGGAAAAATGGTTTTACGGTCTTTGGTCTCCACAGAGCCAGGAGTTTCTGGAAAGAACAAATCCATAATTGTTTGACTTGCTCAAAAATGCAGAATTGACAAGGGATTTTGGATTAGAAAAGGTTCATTGGTCTTTTCCATCTCCGATCTGTCATCCTGTTAGTTCATCCATCCCTTTTCTCTGCCAGGGCAGGAGTGTTCCCAGTTGTACATTTCTAGTAGTTTAACTGTTTTTAAAAATCCCTGATGTCTTGGTTTCCCCAGAGAGCCTGTTTGCAGTCTCCAAGCACTCATTAGGACAAGATGTTGTTTGATACTTGAGCTATGATTTTTTTCCTTTCAATAGTTCCCTTCCCACTTTCCCTCAGTGTACCTATCTCTTCTTCCTTGGGTTCATCCATGGCAGAAGGTCGCTAAGCCAGGTCCTTTCTCCTGCTTGATTACCAGGAGTTTGGAGAAAAACGGTTTTGTGGTTAAAGGCAAGATCTAGAAACCAGTTCTCTTGACAGATTTCTCCTTGATGTCCTTGGCACTGGGCTAGTAACTTAGTGGGGATATTTTTGGGTAAAGAAACTGTCCTTCAGCTGAAGAAGAATAATATTGTATTCTGTTAGTACCTAATTAAGGTACTTCTCGTTAAAGGAGGAAAGGTTTTCCTCATTATTGTCATCATACATGATGTACATACCACCTTCTGCCCACTGGGCATGTGGCGAGAGCCTGTTCTTCAGGCAGAAGGCACCAGTATTCAAAGATGGCAAAAACAGGTAACCATGACTTCAAGCTTCTGCTTCACGCTTGAAATGCTCAGCTTGATGCTGCAGGGGAGACTTAGGCCCTCCCCTTGGGGAGTGCATATGATGGTCACCAGGCATCTTCTCTCCTCCCTATGTGGGCTGCAGCTAGGTGAACAGCTGTGAATGTAGCCCTTTTAAGATCTGAGGAGACTGCCACTAACACAGAAGTGCAGGTTATTCAAGCAGTGCCCAGTGAATGAGGATAGGGCAGGAAGAGAGCCAGTGGAGCAATCAATAGGTGTCTCAGATATCCAGGCCACTTTCTTTAAGAGATCTCTGATCAATACATTGCAACAAGGGAACTGCACGGACACCAGAGCTTTGCTGTCTCAGGTTCTCCTGCCGTGACGCTGCATGGCAGGCGAGACTCGCTAGGGAAAGTGGCAGGCAGAAAGCTCTGCCCACGGAGCCCAACTGGCTCAGATGTCTAAAGTGTTGGCCTGTCTGGCTGCCTGTCTCTCACTTTCCCCTTCCATCTGGAGTGTGCCCCCAGAGAGCATTAATTAGCCCCTCACTAGCAGGCTCAGATAGGAAGCTGCTGAATGTGGAGTCCAGGATTCCAGCAAACTCCAGTTCCAGTGCCCCTATGGAGAGGCACCATCCCCAGAAAACCTGCATTCTGCTGCTTTTAGCTTTGCTGAAGCACCAGCCTGCAGACAGCGGGAGATGGGGCATCTTCACAGCTTCGTCCAGTAGAAGTGCGTGCCTGCCTGCTCTGCAAAAGATCAGGGAAACCTGAGCAACCTGTGATACTACTGACCCCAAATGGAGAAGATGATATCTACGTACATGTCTGGCCAGTGGGGATGGCCAGTGAAGGAAAGCGTGCCCTGCAACTTGCAGAAGAGAGGCATTATTCAGAGCTGGGCATCCCTGTCTTTGGCTACCCTACTGCCTGTCTTTGCTCCTGGCACTGTCTGTTTTGTGCTCACAAAGACCAAAGTGTAGCTCTTTAACTCTGGGCTCTACAAAGTATATCTAGATCTCTCTGGCCCTCTAGAATGATGGATCGAGAAATTTCAGCGGTTTGGCAGGTCTTTTTTAAAACCTCAATATACCTTGTCAGTTTCGGGGAGAATATACCCTTGCCATTCACGCTCTAGCCACCCATGGCCTTTCTGTTCTACAGCAATTTGTTTGTCTGTGAGAGGTAGATGTAATTTCAGATGACACATGGCTTGTGGAAGTGGGCTCAGCGGTTTGATTTTGGACATTGGCCGGTTAAACATGACCTCACAGCCTTGCCCTCCACACCTCTGCTGCCTCTCTGAAGTCACAATCCTGTGTGCCACCTTGCAGAGTGACCCCATGATGAGGACAGTGATGTCAGTCCTTCTCTGTGTGTCAGTGTGGTGGGTTGACCTTGGCTCTCCACCAGGTGCCCACCAAGTTTCTCTCTCGCTCCCCCTCCTCAGCAGGACAGGGGGAGAAAATATGATGAAAAAGCTCATGGGTCGAGATAATGACAGAGAGATCACTTAGCAATTACTGTCATGGGCAAAACTCCACTTGGGGAAAATGGATTTCATTTATTGCCAGTTAATAAGAGAGTAAGATGTTGAGAAATAAAAACAAAACTCAAAACACTTTCTTCCCACTTCTGCTTCTTCCCAGGCTCAACTCACTCATGAAGTCTACCTCCTCTTCCCCTGAGCAGTGCAGGTGGATAGGGACTGGGAGTTTGTGGTCAGTTCATAATACTTTGTCTCTGCTGCTCTTTCCTCCTCATACTGTTCCCCTGCTCCAGCGTGGGGTCCCTCTCATAGGATACAGTCCTTCATGAACTTCTCCAACATGAGTCCTTCCCATAGACTGCAGTTCTTCAAGATCTGCTCCAGCATGGGTCCTTTCCATGCGGTACAGTCCTTCTGGAACAAACTGCTCTAGTGTGGGTCCCTCACAGGCCACATTTCATGCCAGAAAACCTGCTCCTGCATGGGCGTCTCTCCATGGGCCGCAGCTTCTACAAGAAAACCTGCTCTGGCATGGACTCACAAGCTGC